TAGAGTGGAGACGACTTCTTCGGACAGCAGAGGACAACAAGGCCTCAACCTGATTGGTAAGATAAGGGAGAAGACGAAAGAACCTTTCAAGGGCAGCCAGAAGAAGCTTCCAAGGGAAGTCGAAATAGATTTCCGAAAGGAATTGTAAAATAACTTCGAAAATAACTTACACCGAAAATTGCTTGGGAAAGTTGGAAGAAACTTCGAAGGGAAGATAAGAGAAATTTCAGGAAGGAAAAATTAACATTTTGATGGATTTATTTGTTCACTGAATAAAAGTATTTCCCAATTTACAGGAAATACCGGGATGCGCCATCAGCTGTTTCTCGACCCCTTGGTAGCCAAAAAAGGCGAGGAAATGGAAGCATTAGTCGAAAGAATATCAAGCAGAATACATTTTAAAGAAGTTTTTTTTAGAGCTGGCTCAAAAATTTTATTGTTTAAATAAATAAAAGCCTCTCACAATAGTTTCAGCGCATGTGAGCAGTAATCATTTTGATTATTATTAAAATCGGTATAAATCGGTATTAAAACTCAAAAATCGGTATTCTGAGTTACCTTATCTGCACGGCGAATGAGAACGACTCAAATTTGAGTTTAGTTCACTCATAATCGCCAAAAGTGCAGGAACTCAGCGATGAGTTAATTTGCCTCATGTTTTCCCAGGTTTTTCCAGGATTTTCCAGGGAAAAATTCCCGAATTTGAGAAAATTAAAGATTGGATTCACTCAGTCTATTGGTACTACTCCGAGACTGAATAAAATTTTCGTCAATTTCCTCATTTTCCGGCAGATTTTTTAGGTTTTCCACAGGAAACCATGAGACAAATTTTACTCATCACTGAGTTCCTGCACTTTTGGCGATTATGAGTGAACTAAACTCAAATTTGAGTCGTTCTCATTCGCCGTCTGTACATCGGTATCAAGTGTGAAAATCGGTATAAATACCGATAAATCGGTATATCTGGCAACGCTGTGTCGGAGGGAACCTCATAGAAAATGTTACCCAAAACCGGCTGAAATGCCTTCAGGTAAGTACGAATTGCTTAGGAAAACGGTGTTGAACCGTGTTTTGCTCCGGTAGAATGAATCCAGAGCAGGCAATTTCCATTTCCTTGAATGAAAATCAAAACAAAAACCCTCCCCGCAACTGAAAATACCAGCGAGTGGATTTGACTCAGTCTACGTGAGAACGTAGTTTACTCAAAAGTGAGTCAACATAACTCAGATTTTGACAACCTAATGCATCAGACAAAATTTACTGCGATCGACTCACTCGGTGAGTAAGGTGAAGTAAGCGTGTAAGTAAAAGTATGGACGTCTGTCAAAAGTTGTTCCAATCAAACCGTCAAAATTCACTGCTTTGCTCCCGGGACGGGACTTGACAATCGAGCTTCTCACTCTTCTTAATGTTTTTGAAGAATGCCATTCGGAAACTTGTGCGTGGTGTTTGACGGAGTTGACCAAGGATGCCAGGAATGTAAAATATTTATTCTATATTAATTTGGATTTTATGCGGAGTTCCTTCCGCAGCTTAGCAACATGTGCATCATTTTTGCTCAACACATAAAAACAACCATAAACAAACAACAATATCCAACGCTTAAAACACGCAATGCACTCAATTTTTCAACTTTCCTTTCGCAAATATAAAAAAATTAACAATGCCATTCACGTCAACATTGATTCCGGCATCACTGCTAGCCAGATTGATGCGATCCCTCTGTCCTTTTTATTCCACGATTGCTAATGTCAAATCGACCAATCAGAAACTGGCTCAGATTTGACAGCAAATTGGCTCGAAATCGCTACCCGATTGTCAAGTCCCGTCCCAGCTTTGCTCGATTGGAACAACTTTTTTTCAGTTTTGTGGTGACAGTCGTCCATAATTTTACTACACGGATAGAAATCCCCTTATACCTTTTGGCAAATTTCCATTGCTGATTATTCATAAAATGTATAAGTCAACTAATAAGCAGAAGCCTTGCAAAAAGTTAATAAAGATCATGTGTCAAATGAAATGTATAAATGGTCACACATACCGTTTATGCATTCTTATAGGACGTATGTGGTTTGTCTTATGGAATGTATAAGGCTGATGTTTTGGCAAAAATATATAAGTGAAATACATGAATAAAGTAATTAATTTTCGTTTCGTGTAGAGTGCTAAACTAAAGTCCACAACACTCAACTTTATCGTTTTGATCACATCAAATCACAGCTTGATTTGGTATCAAATTTGAGTTAAAAAGATTCATTAAAAATCCGTGTGTAAATTCTGACTAACAAGAAGAGTTGTGAACAGAAGAAAACGTTAACTGTCCAATTGATATTGACGGAATCACTAATATTTTCTTTTTTTTCGGTCACGAAATTGTCATAGACCTATCAAAAATGGTCAGAGGTTTCGACAAAAGTTATAGACCCAATATTATGGCTATTTTAGTTCGAGATCTTGAATGTTTTCCTAGCCTAAAATGTCAAAAATGGTCTAGTCTAGCGCTCGACTTTTTTTCAAAGGTTAGAAGCTTAAAAAATCTTTGGCACTCGGTAGCTTTAGTGTTAAATTGTATTGTATTTTTCTCGTACAAAATAAATTTCCAGGTCCAGGTCTTAGAAAAAAAAATCCATAATCAAAAAATGTTTTCTATGTTTAAGGAGCATTTAAATTTTTCAAAGAATGTGAACTTACATTCTATAATGATCCGATTTTTTCTGCCCCTCCGTGCATCAGACTTTTATTTTTCGTTATTTTCACATAACCGCAATTCCAAATCTTTCTCATTCATGTTCAAGACTACTTTGGTGCAATAAGACCACTGAAAAGCGGATGGGTTTCGTAGAACAACAGATTTTCAAAAAGGGGCTGACAAAATCGGCTCATTACTGTATAGAACATTATTTCAGGCCGCAGTTTTTTTTTTCAATCTGTTTGTCTTATGGTCCAAAGCTCTCAAATGTATCCCTATATCCCTAATTTTTCACGATCGAGATTTTAAGGCCTAGACGCATTCAAATTTTGTTTTATGTCCGTGATCTTTCCATCTGGGATAACATTCCTCGTTCCATAATAATGAGATTTTGTCTTAGACTGCGATCTAGAAAACTTGTCTAGATCCCAAAGTTATGATTTTTTTTTTCTATGGTGTTACGAGGATGGAATGGAGACGACCAGTCCGCTATAGCGGCTATAAAGAAGAGAACAATATTTTTTATTAACATTAATTAATTAATTTAGCTTTATTTAGGAGGCTTTCAGCTTTTTTATTAACATACTCATGGCTAACTTAAATATAAAGGCTGACTAAAAGTAAATTGGTACGCACAAAAGGACCTGTAATTCGTGATTCAATAAGTTTAAACAGTCCATTAATGGTTGCTTTACAGTACTTTTGTTAAAACTTCAAAGTTATGCTGTAACATTGATTACATTTCTCCAGATCGAACGAGATCTCGATCCTTCCTCTTGATTGAACGCTGCTTTGAAACTGCCCAGTATTTTTAGATAGATCAAAATTCCGGGAAATTCGGAGGATTCATTAGCTTGGGGACAAAATCAATCATGATGGCAGCATACCACTCCAGAACCACCTTGGAGTAGTGACCCTATACTTGCGGATGAACGGCAATACACGCTTTTTCAGGCATTATTTGATGTAAACTTGGGATTTCATCGTCGAGGATGTGACGAAATTATTCCAGAAGCTCCTCGACCGAGAACGCGGAAAAAATCCGTCGATATTCCCGTTCGATTCTAGATGCTACCACCGAAGGTTCTTGGCTTTTCATCTGGTTCTGATGAAGGGTTCATCCACCAGGATTTCGTTTGACTCAGTTTGGCTAAATAAACTACTTTGGGACTGCATTGAGTCTGTTGATTATGACAAATAAATAAATTACGATTACATCAATATGGCCCATTAAAAAACGCGAAATTTCAATAGCGTTTTCTTGCGTTCATATTGGACGAAGTTCAACCAACAATCAATACGAAACTAACGATTTTAAATTGGCTCACTACTTGACTAGCCTATTGGTCCCAAGCAAACGATTAACGTATCCCATTCTAGTCGAAATTCTAGTACTACACAATGTTTGTTTTGATTCGCTATGAAAATTTGACAGATAAAATGAGGGGTTATTGGATTTTCCTATGTTTCGAGGGGTGAATTGATTAGCTTGGGACCGAAGAGAGTACCAGAGCTGAGTCAAAAAGTTGAGCACGTTATTTCGGAACCTTCTAGTCTTAGAGTTACCTCTATGGTTCAACACGGTTTCGGAGGCGAAGTGTTTTTCTTTTTTTTTTTTTCGTTTTTGAGTTATATTTTTTGAAGTTACCAAAACTTTGGTTTTTCACTCAATACTCCTATGTGACAAGTCTACCATGCGTCTCCATTGTTAACTAACATAGTCACATAGTATAGTATAGTCGCATAGGAGTGCTTCTTGATCAATCGAATCATCAATCGAGCGAAAATAAAATTTGATAACTTATAAAGGGGGTAGGACGAAGGGGGTGATTAAGATACAAGAAAATTTTCGTTTTGCTGTTGTGAGATGCGCGCTCGCTTATTAGATAGAAAAGAGGATTGATGGAGATTTTGAAGATTTCCTGCAAAAAAGTGGATAGCGATGCGAGTTATATGGATTTAGACGCAAGTGATGAAAATAGATTGACACGCTAACTTGAGATTTTTCATCTATATAAATTGAGATTTAGATGTGTCGCAACCCAAGGGTAAGCAGATAGTACAAAAGCTTAAAAACTGTAAAACCATATTTTAAAATGAGTTTGTGTCTTCAAAACAATGTTCTGTATGGACTAAGAAACATCTTAAAACAGCCTACTTCGACCAAAAGAAATCCCTCCTGAACTAGTCTACCGTACATCCAATCGACATAAATCAGCTACAACCAAGAACCAACTATAACCCAAAATGCACAATTCGATTCAATATTACAAAGTGACACATTTCTTCTGTCTCTCCTCTCTTCTTCCAGGGAACGCGCAGCAACGTGACGGACGCCTGCGAGCGGCACGATCCCTGCCAGCATGGCGGCATCTGCATATCGACCGACTCCGGACCCATCTGCGAGTGCCGAAATCTGGAGTACGAGGGGCCCTACTGCGAACGAGGTAGGTCTTTCCGCCACCGCCACCGTTTGTATATATGTATTTACTGACTGCAGAGGCGAGAAATTTTCAATCTAAATTCCGGACTATCCTTTCCTCCCATTCCGTTACTACTGAGCGTGGTAATAACGCATAAATTTCAAATGCTTTCTAACAAATAGTTTTGCACTCCGCGCTTATAAGCCTTTCCGTGCCTCAGCGAACGACGGAAGTGATTGCCACAAAATAGACAACCACTGATTTGAAATTCATGGATACATTTTCATCATGGGCCAGGGTTCGTACTATAGCTGCTATATTCATAGTCTGGCGAAGCCAATCGTGCATTACTGTTTCTTTTTGTATCGATGGGGTGGAAGTATTGTGGTCGTTACGATAATTAAATCGAACAAAAATTAAATAAAAGATCGATGACGAGGGAATCGGTTCCCAGCTGAATCAGGAAGTAGGTCTTCAGTTGCCGTATGGAGCAGCGTTTGATGCCGTTCGACGCGGCTAACGAATGCCTGTTCAAGTTTATCCCAATGCTTAGCAACACTACGAACCGTTTCCTCAAGCGACCCAACGTTTTCGAAGAGGCGCGCACAAAGTCTTAGCCAAGCAGGCGGAACTCCTGATCACCTGATGATGATGTAAAGCAGGCAGGATCAGAAGAAGAACATCCCAACTAACAATTTTCACAATGTAAACGCTTTACTCATTTCATTTATACACCCTCAAGCTGTATGCAAACGTTATACGATATGAGAAAACCTTTACTCAACCTCTATACAAGCAAATCTGACGAACTTAGTCAGTTAATTATGGTTGTTGGGACGGTTGGGACAACCTCTTATTGCATATCCATTAACGCTTCTATACAGCTGTTATCCTGCTGTTTAGTTGTGTGTCAACTTGAAAGGCGCTTATTCAACCTTTTCCCGGTTATCCAATAATCACTACACACCTTTCTCTTGAAGCCGGGTTAAATACTGTTTACGCTTTTTTGTTATGGAGGAATTTATTGAGTTTCTTTGGCTGTGAATCAAATTAATCGAAATTAGTTAGGCAGAGACGAGCCAGCCAACGGCTGAAAGTCTCCTTAATAAAGATATAAAAAAAAAGAAATTAGTTACACAAGTCATCACCAAATTATTTACCCTTGCACCGGAACCTGGAATCGAACTCAAGACGACCGCATTAGCAAACCTTGACACTACCAACTATGTACACCAACACTTTGAACTGATGTAAACAAATCAACATGCCCTTCTACAACAAAATCGCTGAGTAGAGGCTTTATAACAGTGCACATGAATCACTTTTCTCGACTAGTTACTGCACACGTCTAAAAATAAACCTATTTGATTGTGAAAATGCTTCCAGAGTAGCTCTAACACAGTTTATTAGCTGAGTACAGGATGTTAAATTGATGAAAAAGCACTTTTGCTGTTTATGTTATTCAGCAAGAGTGGTTGGTTGTGTAGAAGCCATCAAATGAGTAATATATTCACTTTATTAGCTTTGTTTTGCAGTAACAAGTTGAAAGTTGATTAGTATGTGTATAAAAGAGACATTAGCGTTTTTTGGCTGTTGTTATTCAGTGCGAATGACATTGGTTGAATAATCGTTGTGAAACAGTTGAGTAAACGCTCTCCTAAACTATTTTGCTAGCTTCTGCTTATAGCTGTATCTGCAGCTTGTTTTCAGCTACTTTACAGCACAACGCTGGAAAAGTTGGCTTATAAAGCTGAAAATTTTAGTTGGGATGGATCCCGTTTCGAACTGAATGTAGAAGCTGTCACTGCCTGGATTGTCGAAAATGTTGATCAAACGGTTGCAGCACATCATCACTACGAATGAGTTGTCATTGCCTTTGAAGGCGTGGTGACCGTCTGATTTGAACTGAACGCCGATCTGCGAAGGTGATTCGGAAATTTTAGGAGTTCTAGGTGACTTGCTTGGCGGGATCGACTGTTACGAACTATGTTAGAGGTTATGTGGCTTTCAGTCTTTTGATGCGCAAAAACGGGGTTTATAATGAAAACTTCCAACACAGTAGGTGACCTTCATCGGAAGGACGGGACTCGTCAACAGCTGTCGTAGAAAGTTTCCTGTGATAATTGCAGCGGAAATTTTTGTCAAATAACTTTCAGGGAAGTTTGAACTGTTAATTTGATTGAAATTCACTGAACAGGGCGAGTTAAAATGGGTGGGAATGCAAGCATATGTCGTTATCGGTCGGTAGATAGTTTTCCAATAACTCAACCATTCAGTTCACATCAGACGCTCACCATGATTGGAATTCTTCGCTACGTCAAGTCCTACCTTGTTGGAAAGTACCAATCCTTCCGTGACAGTGAAAACTCCTTTGTAGTCATGATGTTTTGCAATCGCTTGGTCGGCATCTTTGATAATCCTAACAGTGAGTTAAACCGGCTTCACCCAGTCAAGAACGTCCTAATTACGCTCGCAATAGTCTACACACTACTCGAAACGGGTTCCATCATTTTCTTCAAGCCGTTCAACACGAATCAACACTTCGAAATTCTATTTATGACGTTTAGTCGGCAGCTTTGCGTCATCTTATGGACCTCGCTAGCGGTCTACCGTGGTGATTTGAAGCAGATCTGGATCTACCTGTTTGATCTCCAGTGCAATACCCCAGATGAACGCCGAAGCAAACCAATCCGCACCATCAATCGATTCATGCTCACCTTTCTAATGCTGAACCTATTTCCAACGGTGGTATGGTCCTTGAACGGCCGATCCGGATCCCCGATAGATCTCTTCAAAAACGATCTGATCGACATGTTCAACGCCATTCTGAATCCTATCGCTGTATTCGTGCTGACATTCATGTTCCATTACTCCATGATCGTCGTCTGTTCGATTCTTCCGGCACTGACCCTGGAATTCCGACTGCTCGGCTTAGATTTTGAGCGCATCTTTGAAGACGTTGGATCGCTCGAGGAAACAGTACGTAGTGCTGCTAAGCATTGGGACAAACTTGAACAGGCATTCGTTAGCTGCGTCGAACGTCATCAAACGTTGCTCAACACTGCAGCCACATTCCGTCAGCAACTGAAGACCTACTTCCTGATTCAGCTGGGAATAGACTTCATCGCCATCGTTCTCAGTACATTGATGTATGCTTTCACTCGACAACAAGTGGACTCGAGCTTTGTGTTCACCGTTTTTGCAGCGATTACCAACTTGTTCAACCTTTTGTTGTTCGGGTTCCTGTGCGATCAAATGGAAGAGCAGGTAGGTTGTTGATCTTCGTTCACCGACGATGCGTTCATCGCTATCACGTTGAACTCTCCCATAGGTTGCTGCCATCAACTACCATCTGTACTGCTCCGGTTGGACGGACAAGCTGATCTACTCGAGAACGTTCGGATGGCGGTACATTAAGCTCCGCAAGATGATACTGATCGTGATGGAGCGCACACAGAAGAAGGTCGGCTTTACCTGCGGGAGTATGTTCGGGATGTCGTTGGTCATCTGCCGGAAGGTGGTGTGGTTCGCCTACTCGGTGCTGACCGTGCTGATTGGTTTCCTGCAGTAAATTGATGTACAGTATTTCAAGTTTTCGTAGAATCCGTACAGTTCTGAATTGATATGAGTGTTGATATCGAGGTCGACGGTTCTGTTCAAGAGCAGTTCCAAGGCCAAATAGTGAAAAAATAAACAAATTTCAGATTTTACCTCACATAATTTTATGAAACTTCGCATAATTGTTCGCTAGGGTCCAAGTTTGTGATGGAATTCGGCCATTTTGACACGTTCGTGTGTGGCGTGTTCGATATTTTTCAATAAATCATAGCACGGAAACTGCTCATCTAATCGAAATGACGTCTGAGATATTTATGGGAAACTGTATTGAGTTTCCAGGCACTACACTGCACTGCGTAGATGATATTTCACATCACGGACAACTGAATTCCTCATTTACTCCACACTTCACGAGTGTTCTTACCGATATGAGTCCATGTCACTCGTGTCCAGATTGTCAAAGAACGACTTGTCGTTCGTTATGTGGCTGGAACGCACACTATCAACGATCCAAGGTCCACTGCACTTTGTTACAGCCACAAAATGCTCCGATTTGCCGTACTGAAAGCCCCCTCTAAATCAGCCAATCCTATTAGCGACCTCATTTCACGGAACCGTCCAGTGCATTTGTGAATGGATCTGCTAACTGTCCATAAGTTCCTATTGGTTCCACACGAAAAGTTCCACGTAGAAGTTGGCCCCGCAAAAAGTAGTGCTTGATATCAATGTGCTTAGCACGTTTACATTCAGTATTACTTGCCATTGCAATACATCCAGGGTTGTCTTCGTATATTGTGAATGGTTCTTCAGCTGGCAGTACACCTAATGGAGCTTCCTTCGGATGCCGCAGCGCTTAGAGCCACATACTCAGTCTCGCTTGATGACATTTCCACAGTTTGTTGTTTTCTGCTCCGAAGACCTCTTCCTCGAAGAACGACGTCCGCCAGCCTCGAGCGCAGGAAGGATTCCCTCCTGCCACTCGCCTCTCACCTGGCCCCACACTGTACCGAATCGCCTGATGGTCACTATGGGTGTTACCCTATCGACCCTCCAGTGTAGGTTACCCTCCAAACACGGGCTGCAGTACGTCACGTCGATGAAGGATTCTGCAACATTCCTTCGGTAGGTACTGACCGAACCGGTGTTGGCAAGTACTACGTCCAGTTTGGCCATTGCCTCCAGTAGGATGCATCCTCTCTGGTTGGTGTGGTGGCTGCCCCACTCCACCGCCCATGCGTTAAAGTCGCCCGCAATGACCACCGGTCTAAGGCCGACAAGTACCGCAGTGAGTCTGTCCACCATCTGCGAGAACTGCTCGATAGACCACCTGGGCGGAGCATAACAGCTACTTAAATATACTCCATTGACCCTGGCGATCACGAATCCCTCGCTCGAGTTAGACACGACTACCTCCTGAACGGGGAAGCTCCCCATCGTGCATATCACCGCCATCCCCAACGCGTCCGTGATCCAATTCCAGTTGTCGGTTGGGACGCGGTACGGGTCGGAGATGATTGCGACATCCGCTCCCCATTCCGCTGCCGATTGCTACAACAGTTGCTGGGCAGCCGAGCAGTGGTTCAGGTTCAACTGCCCTACCTCGAACATGGCTGAGCATGCTCTTTGCCGGGGCAGCATTGCTCTTGGCCCGTGGGCAGCGTGGGCCACCTGCTATGTGGTTGGTAGGGGATTTCTCTTTCTCCGCGCATATAGTGCACGTCGGCGGCTTTTGGCAACCTTGCGCCTTATGGCCCTCCGAGCCGCACCATCTGCATAGCTTGCTTCTGTCGGTGTTCTTACAGGCACGGGCCACATGGCCCTGACCGAAGCACCTAAAGCAAGCTGCAACCGGTCGGGGAATACTCACAGGGCAAACCGACCAGCCCACTCGCACCCTCCTTGTGGGTACCGCCTTTCTGGCATCAGCTGCCGAGAGCTTGACGGTAGCCACTTGGGTGGAAAACAGTCCCTTCCTTAAGGTAATCGTTCTTTGCGGTACCTCGACTCGACACTGCTCCCTGAGCACCGTGACTAGCGACTTCACCTGCACCCCATTACCAACGACCTCCTTTGCCAGTTTCTGGTAGGTTGGTCCGTGGTCTTTAGCGCCACGCTTGAGCACCAGGAGCATCTCGCCTGTACGAGTGCGCCTGATGCTCTTCACGTTGCTGCCCATCTCCGCAAGACGCTCGTCCGTTCTCATCTTCTTCAAGACTTCCGCGTATTTCGACGCTTCCATCTTGAAGATGAGAGCCTCGCCCTTCGTCTTGTTCCTGTTCCGGGCAGAGCTGCTCTTGGGGGCAGTTTTGTCCGGGGGTTTCGGGGGTTTCGGTGGAGCGCCCTTCTTACCGCCCTGCTTACCACCCTGCTTGGAGCCGCTATTTTTCTCAACTGATTTTCCATTCACTATTTCAGCCCTCTTCTACGGAACGTCCACTGTTGCAGTGGACTGATGGGCAACCGCCACGCACTCCACCTGGGCAGAGACTTTCCGTTTCTTAGGGCGTGCCGCGCCCTTTACTGGCGAGGGTGAGGGCCGATCGTGCTTCTATCCCTGCGTAACGGCAAAGTGGAGGGCCTCGCTGGCCATCGTGTTGTTGCCCGCGAAGGTGAAGGCGTCCGTCTGGGAAGACTTCGGCTCGTTCTGTTCCGCTCTCTCGGTGACCTCTAGTCGCTTCCTAAGCCACTCGTGGTCGTCCTGGGCCTCGTTCACGATTGCGCTGAGCTGTCGCAAGGCCTGCTTTAGGTCCTTCGCGATGTTGCTCCGCGTGCTCGTGAACTCAATGATGGTGTCGAGCTGTCCCGCGATTGCAAGCAACCTAGGGAGGGGCCCAAAGCTATTCATGGCTCTGATTAGCCCGGGTCAATCCTTCGGTTGCTCCTCCGGCTGTCCACCGATCTCGACCGTTATCTCTGCGTCTCGCGGAGATTTCGACCGTTTGTTCGGATCACTATGTTGGGGAGATCTGGTTAGACTTGTTCTCTGGGGGTTTGGGGTTTCGAGCTTGTTTGATGGGTGAATCGATTAGCTTGGGACCGAAGAGAGTACCAGAGCTGAGCCAAAAAGTTGAGCACGTTATTTCGGGACCTTCTAGTCTTAGAGTTACCTCTATGTTAGAACCACGTACAGAATCTCGTTTGATGACATTTCCACAGTTTGTTGTTTTCTGCATGCCCAACTGACAGTACAGCCGTTGATCTTGAAAAGGTATCCGCTTATTGATTTTCAATCGCTTCTATCTGAAGCCCAGTCTGCATCTGCATATCGGTCAACGCTGATGCGTCATGCTCGCGGCGAAACAACAATCTCGATGACTTGGTCCCCTTCAAATATCTAACAATCTTCTTCAGAGCTTGCCAGTTGCTATCGCTGGGGCGTTGCTGGTATCTTCCCATCATAACAGATGTCAGGTCTGACGCTTAGCATATGGTACATCATACTGCCAAGCAGCTCGCGGTAGGGTTGATTAATTCGGGAAACGCAAGGCCCTTCTCCATCGGATTTTCCATTCCAAATTTCGGCAGAAGTTTGTCAATGGCCGCCTCTGACACTTAGAAATACCCATTCTTACACGTGATGGAATCCATCTTTGACATAAAGGATGAGACGTAAACAAACATGTCATATAAAATTAAGTGCTCCGAGACTGAAAAGTTCGAAAGTACGTTTGATTGAGCTGAATTTCACGTCTATTATGACTCAATTTTATGTCAAAATTTACGCTCATTTATGTCAGTCTCAGATCACCTAAATTTACATCAAAATTTCTAAGTGTGTAGGTGACCTTCATCGGAAGGACGGGGCTCGTCAACAGCTGGGGTAGAAAGTTTCCTGTGATAATTGCAGTGGAAATGTTTATCCAATAACTTTCAGGGAAGTTTGAACTGTTAATTTGATCGAAATTCACTGAACAGGGCGAGTTAAAATGGGTGGGAATTCCAGCATATGTCACTATCGGTCGGTACATAGTTTTCCAATAACGCAACCATTCAGTTCAAATCAGACGCTCACCATGATTGGGATTCTTCGCTACGTCAAGTTCTACCTCGTTGGAAAGTACCAATCCTTCCGTGACAGTGACAACTCCTTCGTAGTCATGATGTTTTGCAATCGCTTGGTCGGCATCTTTGATAATCCTAACAGTGAGTTGAACCGGCTTCACCCAGTCAAGTACGTCCTACTTACAATCGCAATAGTCTACACACTACTCGAAACGAGTTCCATCATTTTCTTCAAGCCCTTCAACATGAATCAACACTTCGAAATTCTATTTATGACGTTTAGTCGGCAACTTTGCGTCATCTTATGGATCTCGCTAGCGGTCTGCCGTGGTGATTTGAAGCAGATCTGGATCTACCTGTTTGATCTCCAGCGCAACACCCCAGATGAACGCCGAAGCAAACCAATCCGCACCATCAATCGATTCACGCTCATCTTTCTAATGCAGAACCTATTTCCAACGGTGGTATGGTCCTTGAACGGCCGATCTGGATCCCCGATATTTCTCTATAAAAACGATCTGATCAACATGTTCAACGCCATTCTGATCCCTATCGCTGTAGTCGTGCTGACATTCATGTTCCATTACTCAATGATCGTCGTCTGTTCGATTCTTCCGGCACTGACCCTGGAATTCCGACTGCTCGGCTTAGATTTTGAGCGCATCTTTGAAGACGTTGGATCGCTCGAGGAAACAGTACGTAGTGCTGCTAATCATTGGGACAAACTTGAACAGGCATTCGTTAGCTGCGTCGAACGGCATCAAACGTTGCTCAACACTGCAGCCACATTCCGTCAGCAACTGAAGATCTACTTCCTGATTCAGCTGGGAATAGACTTCATCGTCATCGTTCTCAGTACATTGATATATGCTTTCACTCGACAACAAGTGGACTCTAGCTTTGTGTTCACCGTTTTTGCAGCGATTGCCAACTTGTTCAACCTTTTGTTGTTCGGGTTCCTGTGCGATCAAATGGAAGAGCAGGTAGGTTGTTGATCTTCGTTCACCGGCGATGCGTTCACCACTATCAAGTTGAACTCTCCCATAGGTTGCTGCCATCAACTACCATCTGTACTGCTCCGGTTGGACGGACAAGCTGATCTACTCGAGAACGTTCGGATGGCGATACATAAAGCTCCGCAAGATGATACTGATCGTGATGGAGCGCACACAGAAGAAGGTCGGCTTTACCTGCGGGAGTATGTTCGGGATGTCGTTGGTCACCTGCCGGAAGGTGGTGTGGTTCGCCTACTCGGTGCTGACCGTGCTGATTGGTTTCCTGCAGTAAATTGATGTACAGTATTTCAAGTTTTCGTAGAATCCGTAGAGTTCTGAATTGATATGGGTGTTGATATCAAGGTCGACGATTCTGTTCAAGAGCAGTTCCAAGGCCAAATAGCGAAAAAATAAACAAATTTCAGAGTTTACCTCACAAAAATCCATGAAACTTTGCATAATTGTTCGCTAGGGTCCAAGTTTGTGCTGGAATTAGGGCATTTTGACACAAGCCTATTTTTTTAATGGCGTATTCGATATTTTTCAATAAATCATAGCACGGAAACTGCTCATCTAATCTGAGACAGTTATAGGAAAAACTGTATTGAGTTTTCAGGCACTACTCTGCACTGCGTATTTTTTTTTTTTTTTGAGTCTGTACAGGACACCCCCTCTTAATCAGCCAATCCTATTAGCAACCTCATTTCACGGAACCGTCCAGCTTCGAGTGCCTTTGTGAATGGGTCTGTTAACTGTCCATTACTTCTTATTGGTTCCACACGAAAAGTTCCAGCCAGAAGTTGGCCCCGCAAAAAGTGGTGCTTGATATCAATGTGCTTAGCACGTTTATATTCAGTATAACTTGCCATTGCAATACATCCAGGGTTGTCTTCGTATATTGTGAATGGTTCTTCAGCTGGCAGTACACCTAATGGAGCTTCCTTCGGATGCCGCAGCGCTTAGAGCCACATACTCAGTCTCGCTTGATGACATTTCCACAGTTTGTTGTTTTCTGCTTGCCCAACTGACGGTACAGCCGTAGACCTTGAAAAGGTATCCGCTTATTGATTTTCAATCGCTGCTATATGATGCCCAGTCTGCTTCTGCATATCCGATCAACACTGATGCGTCATGCTCGATGACTTGGTCCCCTTCAAGTATCTAACAATCTTCACAGTCTGACAGCTCGAATTTCAGCGACAATGTTTTCTTCAGCTGATCTATCATACCAATGTTGTCCCCCATCAGGAGTAGACCATCCACGTACACAATCGCGTAGAGTATTTCGTCTCGGCTCAGCCTGGTGTACAAACGATGATTTCCCTAGTTTGCACACCATATTGCTTGGAGCTTCTACTCCTGTTGGAACTGCTATAAACATATCTTCTCTTAGTTCACCACATAGGTGTAACGTGCCAGTGCGGTGTTACTCCCAGCACTGATGAGACCCCCGTCTCCAAGCCTCAGGGTCGGCACACGCTCGTGATTATTCCGCGAACCAAGAAAACACTCAAAGTTCACTTAAGACAAACTCCCACTTTATTCGTTTTGATGACACTCACTTCACGGACGGTCTCCCACTTCCTTAGATGTCTACTCCTACCTTGTGCTAGCACTGCTCTTCTTTTGTCTTCGGGGCCCCTTCACCTACCACTGCCGTCGTCGTTGTTCCTCTCCTTCCTCTGGTACCGCCTCACCTTCTTGGGCCAGGGGTGGACGCCTCTACCTGTCCCGTACGCCCCTCGAGTATGGTGACGGACTCGAGGTTTCAACGAACCACAAGGGTAAGTTGACTTGCCTGGATTGGTGGCGTACACTGTAGCTGAGGGATCAGATTCTCGAACTGCGATTCGGACACACTACCGGCGATTGGCGTGGTCGACTCCGGAAAAATACGTGGAGCTCACAAATGTTACGGTAAAACCGCGAGGTCCTGGCTGTCCAATGGTATGTGGCAACTTCCTCTACAACTTCTTCAAACTTCCAACTTAGCTCACTTTAGCAGTTTAGCTTTAGTTTTCACCTTCAAACTATTAATTTTTAGCTTTGACTTTCGCTATGTGACCGTAGTCTATAATGATCACCAGGCTTATGACTGTGCCTCTTGGTGGACGATGACCCCAAACCGTGACCGTTGAACCATCGTACGTGCCACGAATTCTCCACGCAATGGCCCCGATTACGCCACCCCTATGGATGTCCATTCATGACTGCACACAGCGTGCTCTGGTGGTGGCTAGTGGCATTGTTCTACAGTTTATAGGGAAATGTCTCCTACTGGCTGCGTTCGTGGGGATTCTGGGACGTTTTACCTTTTACGAACATTTAAACTTTTTCTTGGAATTTAATAACTAAATATACGAAAACTACATGCGATAAATCTCACCAATCTTGGACGCAACACTTACACTTGTTACATAGGAAAGCAGTTTTGACATCAAGTTGATGAACGTGAAACTTCTTCTGAACCGACACTGCATGTGCTGTCCTTATGGAGCTCAGCTTTACGTTTCAGCATAGTCCACGGCAGCCTTCTGTTGGAATCCCTTAGCGACCGAATTCGTCCTCTTTGACTCGAAATACCCAATTTTGGTTGCAACGGCTTGATTCCCTCAGGACGCTTCACAAGACGCCAAACGTTATTGATGTGCAGTTCATCGTTCACAGCTTTCAACCAGCAGGTCTTGTCAGCTAGACCGGAGATCTCATCAAACGTAGTTGGAACATCTAGAACACAGGGAGATTGGTCAGCAGAAACCGTTTCTGTTCCAGTTAACATCGTAATTGACTTACCACAGAACGAGCGCTCCCGTTCGCAAGACCTCGTAGAAGTTTCAACGGAACTAGATCTAAGTTCAAAGCACGAAGGAAGCGCACTAAGTGTCATCCTCTTGTCGTCTGCAGGGGATGTATACGCAGAAAATAATCCTCCAACTAATAAATCTCGCAACTTACCGGGGAGCTTGCGCTCCCGTTCGTGGTGCCTCGTGGTTGCCGTTTCAAGGTCATGACCAGGCAGTGATGCAAAATATCATGACACTCACGCGACATTCGTCTCAACGCATCATCGACTATCGCTGACAAAACGTTTTGTTACGTAGTGAGAGGTAGAGCTCACAGAAAAGCCCAACGAAAACAGTGAAGATTTCTGAAGTCCGATGATGAGAAAAAGCGAAACGACAGAATAAAATGAAAACAATGCCTAGACACATTTCAAGTTCGACTCAGCAGGCTCACCTGTGCGAGTTACAAACAAAGCTGGCAACAGTAAACGGAAGCCGTTGGGCTCACACACCAACACACTCACACAAGTAAGCGATGCAGCAACTGCTTCAAAACGAGCACAGATGAGTGCCGTCATGCGCGACGCATGCAGGTTGGGGATGGATCATCACCGGAGACGACATTTGCCAGTTTCTGTTTTGCTTCTTCCGTCAACTGGATGGATGGTCATGGAGAGAGCTTCGATAAGCACTTTCATTGGAATGTACCAAGCGTTACTACCATAAACTGTTTGACGATCGTGATTGTGATAGATTGCAACTCTTTGACCAGGATCTAGATACGAAGGGAGCGCAGCCGATGTGTTGGAAGCAGTATCTGGTTCGACATCCTCTTGACCATCTGATTCGATATCTTCATTTGATTATTTTCCCTCTTGTTCGAATCTTCTAGTGCCACAGCCTGTACCCATCAGGTGCGTAGTCGACCATTTCTGCCAACTGACTCTTCGAATCTAGCTTTTTCCTCTGCTGAGTGGGAACCCATGCGTATGCCTTGCAGCCTCTGAGCTTCATCATATTAGGCTTTTGATTCGTCCACATCTCGAAAAGAGGGTTGCTTTCCGAAACAGCATTGGTTGGACTTTCATGAGACAGACTCCAGCTAGTGCAGCTTCACTCCACATATGTTTCGGTGCCTTGCACTCGATCAGCATCATACGAACATTCTCGATTAACGCCCGATTGAATCTCTCGGAGACTCCATTCTGCTGTGGAGTTTATGCAACCGTTGGTTCTATCTGGACACTCTTCTCGGAATAGAATCGTGCCTGGTCTTTTGAGCAGTATTCTCTGTCCTGATCCGCGGTAAGTGGCCCGTTGCAGCTGAAACCATTGCTTCATAGTTTCGAAACTTCGAAGTGCGTGAAATCATCAATGAAAGAGACGATGTACCGAGAACCATCCCAAGCTTTTGGCGTAATCGGTCCACAATGGCCGTTGAATGGTTCTCGGCACTGCCTCCCGAGAACACAAGTATCGAAAAAATCAAGTTTACCTTGTTCCACGGTCATACCTGATACCATTCCCGTTAGTTTACGCAGATTTTGTATCCCGAGGTGACCTAGCCTGCGGTGCCACAAATCAGCATTTCCAGCTACGCAAAGGTTTGCAGTTGCATGCTCCAGGCCTAGCTCGTAGAAATCGCCTACAATCTCACCATTGTGGCTCATCTCAGCCGATTTTTCTCCAAACGGCACCTTGAAACGTGCTCTAGTCAGGTTTCACCGATAGAAGGTTCGCTCGCAAATCTGTTGCATAGAGAACGTTGTCTATGGTACACTGAACACCGAGACTGTTGACTCCGACGATTTTTCCCTTATGTCAAGCTGTTACGGACTGGTCATCTTTTGCAACACATATGATGACGGGATTCTTCGCTAGGTGCTCACTAGCTCCTAAGTCCAGTTTGAAGGTAACTTTTCTTCGATCGCCGCTATCAGAAGATCTAACACCCATGAACACAACAGCCTTTCCGCCACTTGGTACATTTGCATCCGCATGAATCTTGCTTCTTTCTTGAGACAATCTCTCTCGAACGGCATCAAGGATCAACTTATCTTCATCGAGGTTCTCCAACACTGTGACTAACGGGTCATAGGGTTACAAACAGCTGCGAAGCCAGATCACATTCTTCTAGTTTTGCTCCTGCTGACTTCAGTTAACGATTAATCTCGTCGAAAGTCTTCAAATGGTCCTTGATTGATGTATCTTCGACCATTGCCAACTTTGCGGGTTGCTTGTGAATAAGCGGGCTGCTTGCGATGAAACCAACTTCTTGGCGTAGATTCCTTCCAGAGTGCTCCAACTTTCCTTGGCCGTTTCTGTTTCACGAATCAAATTCAGTAAATCATCCAGTGGATGAAGGAGATGATCACATTCGTTGCCTTTCTATATATCTCTTGAAACTTCACTGCTTCATCCGCTACGTTTGGTGCGTCTTTCTTTACCACATCCAGCAATCCTGTCGACTTCAGGGTTTTGTATTTTTTTTTTTAGAATAATACATAACAAACCTTAACGATTTAAATCTATAAGTGAACCGAGAAGCAAACTGCTGTACTGAGTTCCTTTGGCATATTCAATTCGAGTAATGTTGTGAACAACTTCAATGATAGTTGTCCAGCAGTGCTCCCATTTTATTTAATAAACACTCCAATGCCTACGAGATTGAGCCGAATGTGTGCCGATGGATGTGCCCAAGCTGTAAAACGAATCAACTTTCGGCACACTGTGCTGAGTGACTTACACTTGGCTAGATATTTTGATCCGTTGAGTTAATAGATGACTACTCAACTACTCAACACAATGAGAAAGACATTTGTGAGCAGTTGATTATGTAAGTAGGTCTTCAGTTGCCAACGGAACGCTACGGCCGCAATCCAACGCCTTCAAACAATCGCTCCCAGTGAAATCCAAACAGGTGTAATTCCAAGCTCAGGGCTGGTAGAATCGAGCGGAGGGCGATGATCGAATAGCATGAGTATTAGGAACCCTGGGTTTGTCATCTGTGACCAGCAATGGTCCTTTTCAAATTGGCAGAGCTTTTATATCTGACATTGACGTTGGAAGTCAAAATGACGCTTCACATTCATTTAGTGCTGACCGATTTTTATTTGAATAATCGACAATTCGATTAACGACCAAAAATTCAAATTTGACAGGCTGTTTTGTTATTGGCCTCGATGTTAATTAATACTATACTTAACAAACAGACGGCGCCGGTGGTGTAATGGTAAGCGTGATTACCTCTCACCCCAGCAGGCCTGGGTTCAATCCCAGTTGGCGCCGCCGGGATGTTCTGAGGCATAACATCTCTGATCACGCCTTCCTTCGGATGGGAAGTAAAGCCGTTGGTCCCCGGTTCATGAGTTGATGGGTCGATAGGTAGGGTCCAGGTGTGGGAGCTGCCTTCCTGGCACGTCGGTAGCATTGGTGCTCAGCACGGAAAACAAGATCGACGGAAAAAAACAAACCAAAGGAAAAAAAAACAAGCATTTGGCAGATCCTGCAATCAGGGACGATATCAAAAGTTAATCCAATTAGTAAACACTGCCCGCAGCGGGTGTCACTTTTTCTCGAATGAGTGAACTCAAATCCATCCATGCACTCGTCTATCGTCTGTCGGCGGTAGTAGTTTCAATGACGTCAATAGCCTTTTCTCAGAAGAACAGGGATAGAAAACAGCTGCTTGAAAAACTTTCTGAATGCCAGATGGCCAAATTCCCACCTGTTCAGTGAGCAGGTTAAAAACTTTTCCAACTACAATTGGATAAAAATTCCGCTCCAGTTTACTGGGGTCACCTCTGGCAATCATCAGTTCCAGAAGCACCTTCTCGCCAACCGGTCACCAACAATGGATACAGTGAAGAAAATCAATTCCCACATCGTCGGAAGGATGCGTGCCTTCCACAATAGCGACAACTGCTTCGTAGTCATGATCGCCTGCGATCGCGTCATCGGTATCTTCACAAGTGCCGCCAACGATCGACTGCGCCCACTAAAGTACATCCTCATTGCCTATACCGTCATCTACGAACTGCTGGAGTTCGTTTCGTTCTTCTTATTTAAGGCCATCACCCTGGAGCAGCACTTCACCACGATATTCCTGATGTTCTGCCGCGTGCTTTGCGTGATCAACTGGTCATCGTTGGCCTTCTTTCGGCACGATCTGCAGCAAATCTGGGTCACCTTGCGTGATCTCCAACAGAACCACTCAGACCAACGTCGGCTCAAGTATATCCGAGCCATCAACTGGTTTGCGTTCGGTTTCCTGGTGGAAAACTTGGGTCCCTTCTTTGTGTGGACCCTCAGCGGTCAAGTCGGTTCCCCGATCAAGGTGTTCCAGAACGATCGTCTCCATCAGGTGAACAACGTCATCTACCCCCTCGCTGTGATGCTTGTGACCCTTATGTTCTGCTACTCCATCATCGTCATCTGTACAATCCTGCTGGCCCTGGCCTTGGAGTTCATGCTACTCGGTACGGGATTTGAACAAATCTTCAAAGACGTTGGATCTCTTGAGGAAACGGTTCGCCGTGCCCAGCGCAACTGGAATCACCTGGAATTGGCCTTCAAACTCACCGTCGAATGACATCAGAAGCTGCTGGATCTAGCCATCAACTTCAGGGAGCAGGTCAAGCTTTACTTCTTGACCCACTTGATTACTGCCTTCATCATGATCACGTTCAGTTGCTTTCAATACGTGTTGACTCAGGACGTCAACCATTCGAGATTTACTTTAACGGCATTCTCCGCCGCAGCCATGACCAGCACGATCAACCTGCTGCTGTACGGATATCTGTGCGACCAGCTGGAAGGTCAGGTGGCTGCCGTCAACTACCACCTGTACTGTTCCGCCTGGACCGACAGGTTCATCTACTCGAGGACGTTCGGTCGCCGGTACAAAGCCTTCCGCAAGATGATGCTGATCGTGATGGAGCGGACTGAGAGGAATCTTGGACTAACGTGCGGCAACTTTACCGCGATGTCGTTGGTTACCTGCCGCAGGGTGTTGCAGTTTGCCTTCTCGGTGCTGACTGTGCTGTTGACGTTCTTGGACCAGGATATAGGAAGACGTTAAGACGATTGGGGGGTGTTCCGGGTTCTAAATTAATATTGCAATGCTTGACTGTATTTAGATGTGTTTGATCAATAAATGTGGTTTCTGTGTTTACATTCATCCTTGGGCTTCCCGTTGGATTCAGATATGTATTGAAGTCTTCAGTGTAGTCTTCAGCCGACACGATTGCTATTCATCGATACATCAAATTTCGGACGATTTGTGACGGCTGAAGACGGTTCAAAACCATTGAAGCGTCTGTTGACTACCGGAAACATAAAGAGGCTTCTGGAGTGTTGATAGTTGATTTAAGTTATCGGTAGTAGTCTTGAAATCCTCTGCAGACACGTGATCGAAACATGAAGCATCAGGCGGACGAAGATGTTTCAATCTCTGGAAGTCCTTTGGAAGTGATATGGTAGACCTTTTGCATTTATTCAAGTCGCCTGGATTTCTGTTTGGAAATTCTCTGAACCTACCTTGTAATTGCTCAGGCTACACAATGTCTGAAAGTGCTCTGGAAGTCCTCTGGATTTGCATAGAAAGCGTTCTGAATGTATCGAAATCAAGGGCAGATCACTTGAGCTACATTTATTAAAACAAACTAATACCTACTACCTAGAAACACTGGAATAAGAGACCAGCGGAGACACTGTTATGATTCCAATCGAACTGTCAAAAGCGGTTCCAATCTGCAATGTTTACAAATGGGTTGCTTCAATTAGGGAGGAGTATTAAAATCGTTGGACAATCACTCATGAACTCGCTCGTCGGTGCATTGGCGAAGTCACTCGCAAGCTGTTACAAATGCAAGTGTTGCCAGGATTGCTTTGATGTTTATCTTGTTGCCAAATTCATGTTTTTTTTCTCCGCTGGTCTCTTATTCCAGTGTTTCTACTACTACCTAATACCTAAAATACTAAATACCTCTAAGACCAGAAGGTCCCGAAGAAACGTGCTCAACTTTTTGGCTCAGCTCTGGTACTATCTCCGGTCCCAAGCTAACCGATGCACCCCTCATTTCATCTGTCAAACTTTCATAGCGAATCAAAACAAATATTGTGCAGTACTAGAATTTTGACTAGAATGGGGTACGTTCAACGATTTGCTTGGTACCAATAGGCTAGTCAAGTAGTGAGCCAATTTAAAATCGTGATAGGATATTTCCAGATATTTTCGACACACAGTTCGATGGAAGAAGAAACAATCTAGGATCTAATACGACAAAGACGACAGGAAACGTTTTTGAAGCCGAGGTATTTACGAAAGAGAGCATCGATGAAGAAAGTCGATCAATGTAGATGGATCTATTTGAAAAGTGACGCGAGATTTCTGACAGACGAGGAATCAATTTTGATAGACACATTCTCGAAAATCAGACGATCAACAACAGAGAGATTTTCGGTGTCAGACAACAAGGTGTCTATCAAAATTGATTCCTCGTCTGTCAGAAATAAGTGTGGTACAATATCAGGTTTATTTGAAAATTTTCCATCTGTCAAATTTAAGTGAAACAAAACATTCCATTGCCGTTCCGCTTCCGTTCACATTGCGTTTGGGCCTTAACACTCTAGAAAACTATTCCAGAAGCTCCTCGACCGTGAACGCGGGAAAAATCTGTTGAATTTCCATCGGAAATCTCCACCAGAATCGAGTGGAAGCTCCCCCTCCAAACACGCGAGAACACTATGTCGAAATTCTCTAGAACCTCCGAACTGTGCTCAACCTCCTCGAACAACAACACGAGCAAATTCCCTGAAACTTCCGTAGACAGCATCGGAAATCTCCATCGAAAGCTTGCGGAACCTCCACCGAGAACGCGGAGAAAATCCGTAGAAATTCCCTGTAACCACTGGTAGCATCACACACGATAAACTCTTTCGAAATCGACTGGAACCTCCGTTGGCTCCATCGGAAATCTCCAACGGAATCGTGCAGAACTTCCTCCGAAAACGTGAGATAATTGCACCGAAACTCACTGGAACCTCCGTTTGCAGCACCAAAATCTCCCGGAACCCTCTCCACCATAAACATATGAAAACTTCCCGGAACCTCCGCCAGTAGCATGGAAAATCTCTACCGTGAGCACGCAAAAACTTGGTCGGAACTCCCCTCGAGAATTCAGATGCTACCAACGGAGGTTCCCAGAGAGTTTCGACGGAGCTTCCACGCATCGTCGGCAAAGGAAGTTCTGCACAATACCAGTGAAGAGTTTGGATGCTACTGACGGAAGATACAGGAAATATCGTTGGTGTTTTCTCGCGTTCTCGGCGGACACGGTTTTGCGCGATTTCGGTGATTTTGGATGCTTCCAGCGGGAGTTCTAGGCAGTTTGTTACCTCTCAGGCTGCTACGAAGAGAATTTTCTTAGGAAGGATATTCGCAGAGCATGTTGTAGCACTGTTACGCATTTTCAACCCAGGTCACTTACCTTGGCAGGAGTTACACACATATGGGTGGAAGGTTCCTGAACGGATAGCTACCATCTACTTTTTGAATACGAGGTGGAGATGATCCAAAATAAAGGCTCTAATAAGGCTGTCCACGAGACAATTGCGATCAGCTGACTTTTTTGTTTACCAAGAACTTTTGACAGATCACAGTAGAACTGACAGTTCACTCTCATATGAATTTCTGTTTTGTGTATGTTTACATTCAGCACCATTAACACCAGATCACTCACACACTCTTGATTTCTAGCTATCAGTTCCACTGAGAAACGTCCGACCACGGACCTTCTCTTACAACTTTGAATTTTACGTCCCGTTTATGGACGGTTTGAGACGTTTGTACGATAATCCAGTTGGTAACCATTCCAACCAGGACGTCGATTACTACTAGACCGGTTGAAGCTAAGGCTTAAGGACGCTGTCAATGAACGACAAGGATGAAATGCGTAATGGGTGCTTTTGGAAAAAAAAACCGCTTAGCCGATGAAAACACCTCAAGAACCACATTTATTCATTAATTACATCTCCCGATACTTCAAAATATAGTAAACTATTGTTATGCAAGCTAGTCATCTATGCAAACCCCCTTTCAGACCCATAGCTTCTTCCTAGTCCAAGAACGACAACAGCACGGCCAGCACCGAGAAGGCAAACTGCAGCACTCTCCGGCAAGTGACCAACGACATCGCGGCAAAGTTGCCGCACGTCATCCCAACCTTCTGCTGCGTACGCCCCATCACGATCAGCATCATTTTGCGGAAGGCTTTGTACCGGTGACCGAACGCCCTCGAGTAGATCAGCTTGTCCGTCCAACCGGAGCAGTACAGATGATACTTGACGGCAGCCACCTGACCTTCCAGCTGATCACACAGATACCCGCACAGCAGTAGGTTGATCGTGCTGGTCACGGCTGCGGCAGCGGTAAAAGTGAACCTCGGACTGTTGACTTCCTGAGTCAACGCGTATTGAAAGCAGCTAAAAGTGATGATCACAAATGACGTTATCAAGTAGGTCAAGAAGTAGAACTTGACCTGCTCCTTTAAGCGGGTGGCCATGTCCAGCAGGTGCTGGTGGTGTTCGATACATAGTTTCAAGGCCTGTTCGAGTTGGTCCCAGTTGCGCTGCGCGCGGCGAATCGTCTCCCCCAGAGATCCAACGTCTTCGAAGATTCGTTCAAATGCCGTACCGAGAAGCATGAACTCCAACGCCAACGCCGGCAGGATCGTACAGATGACTATGATGCAATAGCAGAACATGAAGGTCACAAGTGTCACCGCGACGGGGTAAAGAACATTGTTGACCTGATGAAGAAAGTCGTTCGGGAACATCTTGATCGGGGAGCCGACTTGTCCACTGACGGTCCACACGAAGTAGGGACCCATATTCTCGATCATGTAGCCGAGTGCAAACCAGTTGATGGCCCGGATATACTTCGACCGCCGGGGGTCCGGACGGTTCCGCTGAAGATCACGTAGATTTAACCAGATTTGCTCCAAATCTTTTCGAAACAAAGCCAGCAATGACCAGTTGATCACGCAGAGCATGCGGCAGAACATCAGAAATAGCGTGGTGAAGTGTTGCTCCAGGGTGATAGATTTCAAAAAGAAGAAGAACAGGACAAATTCAAGTAGTTCGTAGACTATGGTACAGGCGATGAGGATGTTTTTGAGTGGCCGCAGTCGATCGTTGGTGGCACTTGTGAAGATACCGACGACGCGATCGCAGGCGATCATGACTACGAAGCAGTTGTCGCTATTGTGGAAGGAGCGGAAGCTTCCCACGATGTAGGACTTGATTTTGTTTACTCTATCCATCGTTGGTCCTCCTAGTACTGATGATTGTTATTCGCTTACTGTGCAGCCAGAGGTGACCCCCCTTCAATGGAGGTAATTTTCATCCAATTAACCTCGGAAAAGTTTTTAGGAAGCTCACTGAGCAGTGAGTTTGGTCCGATGGGAATTTGACCATCTGCCAGTCGAAAAGTTTTTAAAACTGCTGTTTACCATTTCAATGTTTCTGAAAAAGTTCATCGAATTCAACCAAAGCGGCCGCAATGACATTCAGTCTGAAGTAGAACTCCACGTCGAGCAGAATGGCCAACCGATCTGTTAAGGAAAGTAGCACAAGCGTTCCACATTAGTGACAACTGCTTGATAGTGACGATGTTCTGCAGTCGCTTGATCGGTTTCTTCGACTATCCGGGCTGCACCTCAGTTGCCATTCGCCTAATCAAGCACGTCTTTATCGCGTTCGCGATCATGTACGTAGCGCTCGAAATGATTTCCATAATCTCCATCGTAGTGCCATCGTCGAGCAGCTCTTCGGAACCGTATTCCAGTCGTCTATTTTGTATCACTATGTATCGCTAGTTGTTCATCGCCACTTGATTTGAAACAGATATGGATCAACCTGAGCGTTGAGGTAAATACATTCGAACCGACATAGATCACGCTAATGTTCACTTTATCCAACATCGCCGTCCACTCGATTCTACAGGCTCTAAGTCTGGAATTCCAACTGCTCAGATTTGATTTTGACCGATTGTTTGAAGGCCTTCAATCGTTGGATGAAACTGTCAGGAAATCGGTGCAAAACTGGGATCACCTAGAGGAGGCCTTCAAACGCTGCATCAAACGGCACCACACTCTACTCAACTAGCGGTGGCAACGGTTCTACGGTCGTTGAGAAATACAGCATCAGTGAATCTGAAGAACTTCCTCTAAGTTCTGGAAGAACTTCCCCAGTTCTGGAAGAACTTCCCCAGTTCTCGAAGAACTTCCCCACAGTTCTGAAAAAAACTTCTTCAATGTTCTAGAAGAACTTCCCCAAAATTCTGGAAGAACTTCACCGCTTCATGCTGCCTCGAACGGCACCAGACTCTACTCAACTAGCGGTAGCAACGATTCTACGGTCGTTGAGAAATACAGCATCAGTGAATCTGAAGAACTTCTTCTATGTTCTGAAAGAACTTCTCCGAAGTTCTGGAAAAACTTCCCCGAAGCTCTGGAAGAACTTCCCCAGTTCTGGAAGAACTTCCCCACAGTTCTGGAAAAACTTCTTCAATGTTCTAGAAGAACTTCCCCAATATTCTGAAAGAACTTCACCGAAGGTCTAGGAGCACTTTCCCGAAATTCTGGAAAATCTTCCCCAATTTTCAGGAAGATCTTCCCCGAAGTTCAAGGATAACTTCCCTGAAGTTCGTTTAGAAGGGTTGTGCAAATCTGAGATCACCTAGAGGAGGCTTTCAAACGCTGCCTCGAACGGCACCAGACTCTACTCAACTAGCGGTGGTAACGATTCTACGGTCGTTGAGAAATACAGCATCAGTAAATCTGAAGAACTTCCTCTAAGTTCTGAAAGAACTTCCCCAAAGCTCTGGAAGAACTTCCTCGAAGCTCTGAAAGCTGCCTCGAACGGCACCAGACTTTACTCAACTACCGGTGGCAACGGTTCTACGGTCGTTGAGAAATACAGCATCAGTGAATCTGAAGAACTTCCTATATGTTCTGAAAGAACTTCCCCGAAGCTCTGGAAGAACTTCCCCAGTTCTGAAAGAACTTCCCCACAGTTCTGGAAGAACTTCCACACAGTTCTGAAAAAACTTCTTCAATGTTCTAGAAGAACTTCCCCAAAATTCTGGAAGAACTTCACCGCTTCACCTCGAACGGCACCAGACTCTACTCAACTAGCGGTAGCAACGATTCTACGGTCGTTGAGAAATACAGCATCAGTGAATCTGAAGAACTTCCTCTAAGTTCTGAAAGAACTTCCTCGAAGCTTTGGAAGAACTTCCCCGAAGCTCTGCAAAAACTTCTCCAATGTTCCAGAAGAACTTCCCCAAAATTCTGGAAGAACTTCACTGAAGTTCTAGGAGCACTTTCTCGAAATTCTGGAAAATCTTCTCCAATTTTCAGGAAGATCTTCCCCGAAGTTCTAAGATAACTTCCCTGAAGTTCAGATTCGTTTCGAAGGGTTGTGCAAAACTTGTTCCCCGAAGTTCTAAGATAACTTCCCTGAAGTTCAGATTCGTTTCGAAGAGTTGTGCAAAACTTGTGTTCTACAAGAACTTCCCCAAAATTATGGAAGAACTTCCCCAAAATTATGGAAGAACTTCACCGAAGTTCTAGGAGCACTTTCCCAAAATTCTGGAAAATCTTCCCCAATTTTCAGGAAGATCGTCCCCGAAGTTCTAAGATAACTTCCCTGAAGTTCAGATTCGTTTAGAAGGGTTGTGCAAAACTGGGATCACCTAGAGGAGGCTTTCAAACGCTGCCTCGAACGGCACCAGACTCTACTCAACTAGCGGTGGCAACGATTCTACGGTCGTTGAGAAATACAGCATCAGTGAATCTGAAGAACTTCCCCGAAGCTCTGGAAGAACTTCCCCGAAGCTTTGGAAGAACTTCCCCGAAGCTTTGGAAGAACTTCCCCGAAGCTCTGGAAGAACTTCCCCAGTTCTGGAAGAACTTCCCCACAGTTCTGGAAAAACTTCTTCAATGCTCTTGAAGAACTTCCCCAAAATTCTGGAAGAACTTCACCGCTTCACGCTGCCTCGAACGGCACCAGACTCTACTCAACTAGCGGTGGCAACGGTTCTACGGTCGTTGAGAAATACAGCATCAGTGAATCTGAAGAACTTCCTCTAAGTTCTGAAAGAACTTCCCCGAAGTTCTGGAAAAACTTCCCCGAAGCTCTGGAAGAATTTCCCCAGTTCTGGAAGAACTTCACCGAAGTTCTAGGAGCACTTTCCCGAAATTCTGGAAAATCTACCCCAATTTTCAGGAAGATCTTCCCCGAAGTTCTGGAAGATCTTCTCCGAAGTTCTGGAAAAACTTCCCCGAAATTCTGGGAGAACTTCCCTGAAGTTCAGGTTCGTTAAGGAGGGTTGAAGAAGGAATCGGTCGTAAAATGAATATACGGTTGAATACTTTCTTTTTCTTGAAATAAAAGGACTAGATACGGAATATCGATCAACACTGAATCCCTTTCAAACAATTCGGAATCACTTCGGAAAGATCACGTTGCAAAGTTCGGAATTACTTCGGAAAATACTGAATCATTTAATAAAAGTTCGGAATCATTTCTGAAGGTAATAAACTACTTCAAAAATATATGGAATTACTTTGGGAAGTACTGATTCAGTAACTTATGAATGGATTCAGTACTTTTCGAAGTGATAACAAAATTTTCTGAAGTGATTCAGTGATTCCGAACATTTCAGGAATGCTTCAGAACTTTCCAAAGTGATAACTAACTTTTTCTGAAATGTTTCAGTACTATTTAAAGTGATTCCGGAATTTCTGTATTGATTCAGTAGTTTCTGAAGCAATTTCAAACTTTTCCAAAATGATTCAGTTATTTTTGAAATGATTTAGAACTTACAGAAGTGATTACATACTTTTCTGGAATAACTCAGTATTTTCTAAAGGGATTTAAAAAATTTTCTGAAGTGATTCAATAAATTTTGAAGTAATTCCAAACTTTTTCTAAGTTGTTCGGAACTTGGCGAAGTGATTCTAATCAATTCCTAAGTGATGTAGGACTTTTTGAAGCGACTGAAAACATTTGTGATGTGATTCAGTACTTTCCGAAGTGATTCCAAACATTCCTGAAGTGATTCAGTACTTCCTGAAATAATTCAGTACTATCCGAATTGATTCGGAAATTGTATGAAGCAATTCAGTCCTTTTTGAAGTGATGCCAAACTTTCCTGAAGTGATTCAGTATTTTCCTAAGTGGCTAATATTCGAACTTTGTAAAACATTTGAAGTCACTTCCTTGAACTGATGCCGTGGTATTGGGTCCTATTTGATTCTACTCCAGTGTTGGCATATACTGGCGAAATTTCAAACATCCACGACAACCCTGGCTGGCTATTGACTCATACTCCAACTTTGCTGAACAGGCGAAGTCGCCATGTTGAAACGCTCGATATCGATAGTGTGCTTTATTTGGATTTACTCTTTCTGTGATGCCATATCAGAATTTAGAATCATCGATGGCAACCCTGACTGGCTCTTGATTAATACTTCAACTTTACTGAACATTCGAAGTCACGATCTTTAAACGATACTGAAATATTGAGCTTTAATTGGTTCTACCCGAGCAGTGTTGCCATGTAATGACAGCAGTCCGGGTTATACATGTCAATCCTGGATGACCCTTGACACATACTCAAACTTTTCCGAACCCTCCAAGTCACTATCTTTAAGGTGATTCCCTGTAGCTTCTTTTTTCGTGTTACACTTCGCAATTTCACATATAAAAATAATAAGGTTTCTGTGAATGCACGTAGCTGAAACTACTACTTGTTGTTTACTGCGGAGAAGCAAGGAATGTCTGAAATTTTCAGATGTATACACCTCGTAGATCTTGAGATGTGTGCTCTTGAAATTGCGAGGTGTGATGGAAAAACGGACTCTACGAGGAAACACCTTAAACGAAACCGAGATGTTGGGCTGTAATTTATCTTACAGGAGCAGTGTTGCCATATCACAGCATAATTCCGAGCCATTAATGGAAAACCTGGATGGCTCTTGACACATATTCTAACTTTGGCTAACATTTGAAGCCGTTACCATGAAACATAACATGGTATCAATTATATCTGATTCTACTCGAGCAGTGTTGCCGTATACCGGCTGAATTTCAAATTATTTATGGAAACCCTGGATGGCTCTTGGATTTGCAACTTTGCTGAACATTCGAAGTCACTATCTAGAAACGATCCCGAGATATTGAACATCTAACGGCAGAATTTGTAGCCACTCATTATCATCATGGATGGCACTTGACTCGTACTCCAAATTTGCAGAACATTTGAAGTGGCTACCCACATAGGCGTAACATTTAAAAAAAAAAGGCACAAAAGCTTGTGTAAACAACAGTTTAAAGGCCCCTGGCAGCAGTTTTTGCGGCAATTCATCAATTCCCCAGGCAGTTCTGAACACATTCATTCGTTTCGATTCGCATTCCAGCAACTCTTCTTCACAGCACCAAATTCGGTACTCCGTCTACCGAAACAGCTCAATTCTTCCAGAAAAATAGATGAATAAACAAAAAGTGCATGGTATCCCTTCTCTTTCCATTTGAGGTATAATGGAGCTGTTCAGCAGAACCGTATGAAGATTTAAGGCCCCACGGCCTACCGGTGCAAAACCACCGATAAAACAAAAGCGACAGTT